GTGCCCTCCATCTTTCCCAACATCAGGGACTTTTCCAGGGAGTCTTCTCTTCTCATGAGGTGGCCAAAGTATTAGAGTCTCAGCTTCAGGATCTGTCCTTCCAGTGAACACTCAGGGCTGATTTCCTTAAGAATGGATAGGTTTGATCTTCACTAGTTTACTGCAGTTACTAGTTAATAAAGGATATTGTCTTGCTGGAATCCTTGGGTGGTTTTTTTTATTGAATTCCCCACGTGGAATGAACCTGAGGAGTCATTTTAGCTACTCCCTTGACAATAGGAAGATATGTAAACATACTGCATGGCAGTCAGGATGAATGCAGGAAGAATATTCTGTGTTTATATCAGCATCCCATAAACAAATCAGAACAAATGTCCAGTAAAACTGGACATAGTCCAACCACCAGGTAAACTTCGTTGAAGCATATCAGGATGAATTCTCAATAAACAGGCCATCTGGAGGAGCTTGAATAACTCATTCAAATCTTGTTGGGAGCAAGCAAGGAGCTAAGACTATCTTCTACTGGATCAGTGACAGAGGGTACATTTGGACGTGAGGATTATTGGGTTAGTTTTCCTGATCTGTGGCTTTCTGATGGATATACTGTCATGTTGTGCTGAATTTGAAAATCCAGGAAAGAATGGTATAACAGAATAATGCCCCAGATTTCATCGTGTGACATTACAACGCAAAACTCTTGTCCTTTTCTGGGTTAACAGGGCTGCAAATGGATCCCCCCCCCCCAAAGCAAATAACACAGAAATGCTAGACAAGTAGCTTTTCCACTAGTAGTTTTCCAGAAGTGGCATTTATGCCATGTGAAGGATCACATAAAACATGGAAATGATCAGGCAAGGAAACACTGGGCAAATGGATTAAAGTGTTTTCTGAATACAGCCAAAGCCTCCACCCCCCACTCCCCAATATGCACATTTTAAACGTTTTGCCATTCTGATGGGACCTTTTCTAGTAACAGGCAGCCCCTTATTTACTTTGGTTCTATTACAAATCATTATGAGATCTTAAATGAGAATAGCCATCATTAGTGTTAACGAGAATGTTCCAGAGCATTGGACATTTGATTTGTCAATTTACTGCAGGGATTGGGAACATGAGGCTCTTTGGATACTGCAGGTCGACAACTTCCATCATACCTGAAACTCCTGGGCATGCTGCTTGGGACTGATGGGAGTAGAGGCTCACAGGTTCCCCAGTCCTGATTTTCAGGGGCTCAAACCACAGTCAATAGTTCTTTTTTTCCAGTGAAAATAACTCCTACAGCCTTTCACAGACATAAAGTGACATATATGCTGCTGACACATTAAAATGTTTATATTATAAGCACAAATTCACATAAAATTACGGTGCCCTTCAGATATATCACACAGCAATTTAGACTCTAAACTAGATGCCTTTTACATGTTTCACAAAAATACAGTGCTCATTTTTGTCTCAGGGAGGTTTGGGGACTTCTCTGTGATTTTAGGAAGTATGTAGTCAATGGGTGGGTATTCCATCAATGCTAATTGCCTCAGTGTGAGGAAAAGTGAAAATCAACCATCCTGCCGAGTAAACCCAGGAATGTATTCCCACCCACCCACCCAACAGATGTGTTGCTGCAATATAGAACAAGAAACTCATCAAAGAGCTCATTTATGTTCCCCCATACCTTAACAGCATACATTAATAAATAAGGTCTCTCAAATTAAATGTGGTTCTCTGTGGTTCATGGTCATGTGCTCAAGTCACTCTTGATTAAAATGTGGGTTTAAAAAGATGCAATTAAGATGCGGCTCACCGCTATCCTCACTCTGAATACTTTTCGTCTAATATCCGTGTACAATGTTATTTCAATTTACCAAATACATGTATTGGTATTTTCAATTCACCAAATACATTATTCACCTTTCTCATTAGTTATAACTGCGACTTATTGGCATTTCCCAGCCCATATAGTCATCTGTTTCATCAGATGTTGGAACGCCCCAGTAACAATAAATGAGGCAGTCAAGAGCCCACACTGGCAGCAGCACTGATGATCCGAATGGCCAAGGTTATTTTCTATCTTCTTTTTTGAATTAAAATTTTGTAATTATTTTTATTTAGACCATGGAATGCTTTGTAATTACAGACCACACAGCCTTTTCCTCTTGGTTGTTTTTATTATGGACTTAATAGATTGCATAGCTATATCCTATACTTCTTTCTTGGCAATTGAGGTTTTTTTTAAAAAAACAACAACCTTATTTTTATTTTTTTCTGGAACCTGCTTTTTTGTTGCTAAAATTCAATTGAAATATGGGGGGGGGGATTACACAGCCCTTTTAGCACCTTGAGATCTCCAGTAGAATTTCTTAATGAAAATTACCTGGGGGAAATATGAGCATGCTGGAGTTTTCCTGTAAATGTACAGCTTATGTCACCATTTGGATCATGGCTCTTCTACCCACAAAGCAGCAACAACATCTGTATCTGAGAAACTATCAAGCGCTGTGGCAACAAATATGCTCTCAAAACCACAACCCAAGTGATATAAGTCAGGCCTCATGAATAGTTCAGTTAGAGGGGATTTCATTTTAAGAAGCTGCCAATATGCTTAAGGCACATATTGTGACCCATGAAGCTGACTACCAACCATGCAGCTTTTAATAGACAAAACATGTGTTAATACATCTTTGATACTTAAGCAGACATTTAATTCTGTAGCAGTTAAGAGGGCAGAAAACACCCTCACTCATGACTGCATTCTTAAGCACATTTATATAGCAGAAATACCCCACTGAGCACATTGAGCACAATTCAGAGTCAACACATATAGGATTGCATTGCCAAAATTCGTACTTTCTCAGCAGCATATTGACATTAGGATAGCTCATTCTAAATAGGAATACAATTTCGGACAACCAATTCCAAACACCAATGTTGTATTATGATTACTGAAATATGTATTTTGGCTCCTGGACTGGTATGAGAATGAAAATGCCTTGTTAGATTATTAAAAGGTTTCACTATCCCAACACCCAGGATATTTGGTGACATTCAGCAAAGTCTTTTCTGCTGGTTTAGCATTACTCACTGGGGTGCAAAGTTAAATCTAAATTTACAGAGGCAATGAGGAATTACGTTCTCCACATGATAACCTACCAGCCAGAGCCTTGGCTAGGTGATCTTGCGCCCCTGGCAGAACTGTCCAAATTGCGCCCACTACCCACGGACAAATTAGCTCTTCTTTCCGCCTCTCCTCCAACCCCAACCCCCACACATTCAATTCTTCAAGCACTTCACCTTGTAATTAATTCTTTCAAAGAAAATCCAATATTTAATTTTTATGGACATATTTTAAAGCCAATTTTGCGCCCCTCCCTCGCCTGTGCCCCTGGCGGGGGCCTTCCTCACCACCCCCTGGCTACAGCCCTGCTCCCACCATTAGTACACTGTTGATGAGTTTATTACTGGGGAGCAAGGCCCATTAAAATCAACAGGGCATCCTGAGCTCTACAAAAATAAGGGCACCATCCAGCCTACGTTAAGCACATGAAGTCCTATTGATTTCTGTTGGAAAGCTAAGCATGTGCTTAATTATAACTCTAATGGAAATCAATTGAACTTTAAAGTGTTTCACTATGGTTGGATTGTATAAAAATATAAGGGATAAGCAGCTATTATGTTGGCAGGCTGTAAAACACATTGGTACCTTCGGTTTAAAACAAGAAAACAAACTGCTTCTACCAAGCAACTTCATGAAAAGCCTGCCTGACTAGACAAAACTGGTTCAAGAGCTCCACTATGTTAAATGGATCTGATTCATCATATTCCAGATACTCAGAACTACCTATTGTCCATTAGAATCCACTGTCCCTCATATTAGGCTACTATATCAAGCCCAAGGTGAAAAAAATCTCAATGATTTGCTTTTCAAAAGGCTGCAATCCTCATCTAGTGGTAACCTCGGGTTACAAATGCTTCGGGTTACAAACACCTTGGGTTACAAATTCCGCTAACTCAGAAGTAGTACCTTGGGTTGTGAACTTTGCCCCAGGATGAGAACAGAAATTGCGCGCCGGTGGCACGGGAGGCCCCATTAGCGAAAGCGGGCCTCAGGTTAAGAACGGACCTCCGGAATGAATTAAGTTTGTAACCCGAGGTACCACTGTACACATTTTTCCTTCCTTCAAAAATTTATATGCTGCCTCTCAGTCTTGAAGATGTTCAGAGCTTACTTAAAAGCTTCGTAACTATTTCCTTGACTCTTTTTAAACACTGCAACAACATAAAACAAAAATGTGAATTCTTGGGGGAAAACTTTGAAAGATTGATCTATTTGAGAGGGTGCTGAGAAAACTGAGGAGTATTTATAATGTTAGACGAGCAATAGCAAAGAACTCATCCTCTCTAATTCTGGTTTTGGCAGAAATTATTTAAGACGACACCACATTTTATCTTATTTTTTTAAGGGTATGCTTTCCCCATCATGGGTTATCTATGCTGAAATTTTACAAGGTAGCACAGAAAAATAAAGACAAATGGAATAGTTTAACTGGGTGAACAATTAACAGCAGCCACTGATAAATCCTATTCTTTCATATATCAATTCACCATAGTTAATTTGCTTAACGCAGAATGCGGTCTATAATACCAAGAATCACTCCAAGGGGATCAGAATAGACAAACCTCACGTGGTGTCTGTACACCGGGAAGTGGCATTGGCACAGGACAAAACAGTTCACAACAGAATATACCTGTTTAAAATGAAAGGATACACTTGGGATGGCCCAGCACCACAATGATTGTCAAGATCATACTGTGCAAAAACTAGTACTGAAATCATACCACCAAATCCATCTTCATGGTACAAATGGTACACTTCACATGCTTGTTTGTGTATCTGATGTGCAATTAACTTGCGAATCAGTGATTGTGAAGACATCAAACATAGCCAACATTTTAAAAAATGTATTTCATTTTGTTCATTTGTTGTTATCAAGAAAACAGGTACTTACATATTCTTCATAGGGTTCATGTGCTGGCGGAGGGGGTGGCCTGTAACCTGGTACTGCTGGAACTCCTCTTGCTCGAGGGGTTGGGACCCCCCTGGCTACAGGGGGGACTGGGAGTACTCCACGCGTCGCAGGCGTTCCTCTTGGTACTTGAGCTCCTCGTCCAGGTGGTGGTGGAGGAGGAATTGCACTCCCACGACCCCTGAGAAGGAATAGAGAAATCTCATTAATGTGAAGACAAGCCCTTAATGCAAAGCTATAAAACAAGCATGGGGAACCTGTGGCCCTCCATATGTTGCTAGACTATGGCTTCCATCATGCTAGCAAGAGGTGATTAGAGTTGGAGTTTAACAACTCCACCCAGAGAGCCATAGGCTGACCACACCTGAAATGAAATCTATCACACATTTTTAGGGTAAGCGTTAATCAATTTATATACGATGCAACAGATTACAGAAAATGAATTTGACAACCCCCCCCCCCTCAAAGCACTCGTATCATCATTAAATTTTCAGCGCTGCTCGCATACTTGGTATTTGTTCGCCCTAGGTAGAACGATAGTGCCAACTGAAAGGTTTCATGGAATAAAGGCAGTTCAGCTGGGCTATGTTTAGATAGATGGGGAATGAACAAAGGAGGTGATGTTTGGAAGGAACATTGGTAGGTGACAGATATTAGCTGTTGGACAAGACCTTTCATCAACTATTTCCTCAAAGAATAACCTACATAATCTCTATATTATTGTCTTTGCTAAGCTGTGGTTTGTATGCCAGTTGTATCCCTTTACAGGATCAAGTAGATCAAAAGCAGAATCCAGATTGTCTAATGCCCTCCCCAAAGAGGTTCAGTCAGCTCCCTTTCTCTTGACTTTTTCAGCAGTCTTTTATTTCCATTTGGTTTTTGATCTGTGTTAACCTCCTGCTGGAGCAATGTATTTTTAATCTGACCAAGTTGCTTTATGCCCAACTCATGCTGTTGTTTTAACCATTTAATTGGCAAGTTACACTTGCTTTTATTTTGTTTTCTTTGTTTTCAATTTAGAAGACTCCCGAAAGTCATTTGGGGGCCAGAAAATAGAGAAGATATTTTCTAAAATAAATAAATTGCGGTGTTTTGTGAGAAGAAAGTAAGGGAAGAATGCATCATAGAAAAGTAATTGTAGAATGACCAGTTCATTTCAGATTCAGGTAGGTAGCGCGTGTTGGTCTGACGCAGTCCAAAATATATTGTTAAAAAATTAAAAAATTGTCCAGTAGCACCTTAGAGACCAACTAAGTTTGTTCTTGGTAATCAAGCTTCGGTGTACACTCGCACACGTCTTCAGATACACTGAAACGAGAAGTCACCAGACCCTTATATTATAGTGGGAGGGTGGGGTGGGCGTATTTCTCAGGAGGGTACCTTGTGCTTCAATTTTGTACAGACTTCATGTGATGATAAAATTGGGACGAGGGGAAAAGAATTATATAAGCCAATCTGAGCTCCTCCCAGGGATGGTAGGACACTGGGACCCAGATGTCATAAACAGAACATTCCCATTGTAAGCAATGCTTCAATAATGAAAGAACATTTCTAAAACTTTGGTCATGTCATTAATAGTGACATTTCACCTCTGTGAGCTTTGACCTATTGGAAATATGGTCATAGCTGTCTGTCTGTTCCTTTTGATTTCCCACATATTGAGATATCCTCATCCCAATACTGTTTTATAAAATACAAGTCAATATTGTTTTGGTTCTCTTTACTTTCTAGTGTAGGTCAGTCTATCTGTTGGGTTTATTTGTAAAATTGTGATTTCAATTTTGTGACTCTGCAGAAACAGCATGTAGAATACTGACAAGTGTAATAAGTATTCTTATTTGTAGAAACATATATATCTTTTTCAAATGCCTAGTCACTTCGTTAAGTGATGAATATTCCACCTATATTAATTAACAATCGTAAATTGGAATTATACTACAAGCAGGATTCAATCAGGTTAATAATACTAATAATAATAATAATAATAATAATAATAATGTAGCAAAATCTAATGCCTTTATAAATACAGAGATAAAGGGAGGTAGTCGAACTAGCCAAGGAAGGGTTTGTTCTGTAGGAACTCGATTTCAAACCACAGTGGGACTGAAGAATACAATTTAAGGAGACTAGATTCAAACAACCTGATTTGCTCATTCCAGCATTAATGAAAACTGACAGAGAATATTATTTTTCTCTATATAAATAGATCACTGGGAGGCAGAGTGATATCAGAGAGACAGGAGAATTAGGTAATCTCTAGACAAAGAGAAATGAATTGCATTTAGATAGAACAACAGCAGACGATTATTAACAACCATAGAAGTAATAAGATGGGTTAAGTAACATAACAAAATTTCAAATGAAAGTTCCTGGCTTTATTGAGAGGATTGTGCTTCCTATTCTTGCAATAATGAAGGGCTGAACTTAAAAGGTCTATGTAGTTATGTACATGTAGGGAAGGATTGTGATCATACCTGCTAGCCTCACCTCCTGGGCATTCCCACTGCCCATACATTGGACCCCAGATCTACACATCTAAGGATTTTCATGTGCAGTATAAACTGAACCATCTAAACCCTGCAAAACTGAAAGTAGAGACTGTATAGGTTATGCCTACATGTATTGAAATTTATGCATATAGGCTTCTGCGCAGATGTGATATCCAAAGCATGTGCCATGGGAGCAGGACTGGCAGGTGCAGCCACAATTGCTTATAAAGGTAAATGTCTACAAAGGGGCTATCTAATGATGGTTGAAAAGGCAAACTGAACCTAAAACTTAAAAAAACATGCAACCAGGATTCTTCTCATTCAATCTTTTAAAGCACTCGACCAAGAGCTTAAAATTACTTCGAGGTAATAAAAATAACGACAGAAGGACAAACACTTATGGGGGCTTGCAAAATGTAAAATAAAGGTAATGAGTCAGTCTACCGCACACTGCCGCTTTATAAACTCAAGAGATCCATTTGTTAGCCCTGAACGTCTCCTATTAAAATGCACCAGCAGTCAGTTAAGTCCTTCTATGGCAAATGGAATGACTCCTAAATTAATGTAACATGAAATAAAAGTATTTTGTGAAATTGTAACTGGGCCTAGAAAAGGTTCCTTGAATTGCTTCTGATTTTGAGTATGATGTTCGTAACTTACTTAAGGACCTAGTTTAACAAAGCAGTTCTTTAAAGTCTCTGTGAAAAGCAAGCCCCTACCAAACAGGAAGGCTTTAAGTTGTATGGATTTAGCCAGGGGTGCTCAGTTTTGTTTACATATGGACCCCCAATCTGTCACTTAAAACCCTGGGACTTAAGCCATAACTAACTTGCATATTGGTCTGGAATTTAGTCACAGCAGTCATTAGTTCACTCTCAAACCTATTTTAAATTCCCTTGTATTTCAACCGCAGTTAGAAGTTCAGTGAGAAGGTTTGTTTGAAAGAAAACATAGAAAGAAAACTCCCATTTTTTTCCTGTCAATCTTTCTGACTGAGGAGTAGGGAACCTTGCATCTCCTTGTGAGCAACCTTCCAGCGACATATACTAGTGATGTGTGGTGCCAGATGTAAAAGTGGGCAAAAGAATGGACATGAATCTTACCTTTGCAGGGGAGGCTACATTCCAGCCATGCAAAAACCATGCTAAAACCTCCACCCTCCTTGAAGGAAGCAAGAGGCAATATGTGTTCCAGAACACGTTCCAGACAGGCAGAAGCTCTTAAAGATAAGTGGCCCATGGAGGTCAATTTGGTCCCCAAGTCTGAGATTCTGCAGCTTATCCAAATTGTGGTCAATTTAAATAACACCATCTGTGCCTAGAGTCGCAGCTACTGTTTACCTGCTAACGTGGCTGTAAAGAAGAGCAAACGCAACTGACCTTGAAGGGGCTGCAGGAGGAACCCGGATCCCTCTTCCCCGCATGGCTCGTCCACGAGCTGACTCTTCTGAACCATTTAGATATGATAATTCTCTCAATTGCTCTTGACGGATTTCATCATTATAGTCCTGGAAAAGAGTAGGCAGAAGAACATCCTGTCATCTGTATAACTTGGGTCACTTTTGATTTCAAAATAATTGGAGATACGTACATACACATATATATAGGCTTAAATGAATCTGTTTTTTATAAGAAGAGTGTTTTGTTTCGTTCTTGGGGGGAAAAACCCTAAATATTTTACATGGATACATTATTCAAATATATGCAGTGCACTATGAACCAATAAAAGTTATTGCTTATCACATTATACTAAGCACATTCACACCCATATATGTTCAATTGAGCTGAATACACCTTGCTCCTTAGCCGGTGTGCTTAGGATTTCAGCCTTCAACCTACCTTGTCTGCGCATATGAAAACCATGTGCAGACACCTAGTATAGACAGTCATCTAGTTGAGAAAACAATCCATGGAGAATAGGATGGAACTATATTCACTGATTCTACCTCCACATATTCAAGGTCATGATTGCCATGGGTGCTATGCTTATACACCCAAATCCAAGTAATCGATCCTTTGTGCAATCAACATCCTACAAAAATGGAGTGTACAAAAATGGAGAGTACAGATCATACCAAGGTTATCATTTACCAAGGTTAAATGAGCTTATACACATTTAGAGTATGCACATATGCCTCAGTGCAAATAGGAACTTCTATGTGCAAAGGCTGGTAGTGGACGTAGTGTCAGTAGGTATGATCCTATGCCTTCCCTTCTCCTTTAGAACACTCCTTTACGAAGCTGTCACTTGGACCTAGGAGAAAGCCTAATCTATACTGTGAAAGAACTAACAGGATATTTTAGTAGCAATGAACCTAATGATCTTTGTTCATTTGTGTCTTCAAATAATCGTCTTCATCACAGAGCCACAAATGTCTTCAAAATGGGAGTTTCTGCCTTCAAGCCTTAAAAACTGCATTAATTTGGAAAATATTACACAGTGAAGTCGCATGAGGCACAGCCTTCCAAATAAAATCTCAGTGCACTAATTCCAGAGCACTCTGTGTGCTTCTTCTGAACCAGTAAGCAGAAGACTGAACCAATGTTTCTTCTGAATCTGATAACAGAATTACATAAGATGCCCACCAGAGAAAATGTGTAGTAATTCTGCAGCAGTCATTTTAAAAAAATGTGCATTAGCACCACTCTCTTATGTCTGCTGCTGTACTGCAAAGACTCTAATGCATTTGGTGGCTTTCAGGTAGGAAAACAGCACACCAGATTAATTAAGCCTTCCAAAGAGGAGGAGGGGGGAAAATTCCTCTTTGCAACCTCTAAGTAATGACAAAGAAAGCAAAAAGAGAGAAAGCTCCAGTGGCAGAAAGACCAGTCTGGTTTCAAAAGCGACACCTTTGTTGCATTAAGGGAAAAAAAAGGCACCACAGTCATTTGTTTACACAGCACTGTGGCTTACAGTGACAGTTTGCTATAGATTTGTAATAGCACTACCTACACAGTTATAAAAAAGGAGAAAAATGTATATCAAAGTGGTTTCATTTTGCCGTAATCACAAAAAGACAGGGGAATATTCTCTGATGTATTGAGCCCCAAGGCATGCTACTAGAAAGGCATCCCAAAGGGCTTTTTAGCTTATATGTGATGTTTCTGCACACAGAATTCTTCCTTTGAGCTATCATTCCCCATGGGTTTTATCCCATGTTATTTGTTCTTCATAATTAGGAGAGGTTTAATTCTAATATCAAACTAAGAGCTGGCCTGCACATTTTGCTTATCAAAGAGAAATGCCTTCACATTAGTTCCCATTCCTGCCTATAGCTGCAGTAAACAAATCTTCTGTCCTATGAAATGGGGAATCTGATGAAGAGCTGGCATGGAGATATCCAATGCTGTGAGGGAACAAAATGAAGTACCACAGAAATCAAGAAGTACAGCTGACAACAGGCTTCTCTCAGTCCACAGACGTAGAGGTGTCATTGAGAAACTTGGTATTTCTGGATGTTTTATGTGAGGCTCTGCGATAATGAGATCTAGTAACACCAAATAAGAAGACAGAAAGTGTGCCACCTATAATAGTTATGGAACCTTGTCTCTGTTGGGAACTTATTTAGGGACCAAGCCATTTAGAATTCAGGTCACTGAATATGTGACCTCTGATCTCCTTGAGGAAGAATTGAAAGAAGTCAGTGGACCAGCCTTCCACTGGAAAACTAGATTGCCTCCAGCTTCCAGAGAAGGTTGAGGGGTTGTTTAAAAAAAAACAAACAAGTCAGTCTTAACAAGGAGAAATATCAGAGACAGGTACAACACAAAAGCTAACGCCCCAAAACCTAACATAGCAGAGCCTTTCCAAACTCCCTTCTCGCTGTACTCAAACCTTGCTTTAAACTGCCTTTCTCCCCCACTCCAGTGCCATTGCTAGATTTACCACACGTTGCATAAGGTTAGTTTTGAGGATCTGATCAAAGACTTAGCAATTAGAAAAAGTAGGATATTATTTTTCAAATATAAATAAAGTGGAAGTATACAAAAATAAACATTATTTTCCATCTTACTGTAGGTTTTTATTTCATCATTGAAAAATATTTTTTTAATGGTTTATTATTCTTTATATTTTGAATTACATATTTGGGGGCCTCAAAATCTTTTAAGTGCTTAGGGCTTCTAAAAGCTCTTAATTTGGCCCAACTCCCACCCACAACCTCCCACCGAAAGGACGATATCTCTCCCACCCCCACCTTGTTTTTCTTTCTTTGTCTCACCTGCCAGAAAAAGTGCCCCCCCCTCAGTGCCAGGGAGAAGAAGGACCCCCAACAGGTTATGCCCTCTACTATTGCCCTTCTCTCAAGGTGACCCATTTGGCTCTGAGGTGGATTCCTGCAGGCAGCTACCAAGTCTCAGCCCAGTCCACGTGTCTCTTGCACTCCCAGTGACTCTGTCAGTATAGTATGACAACAGATCAGTGTAACTATTATATAGTGAGAAATGCATTTTATGATTTATTTATTTTTACTTTTATAAGCTTTGGTATCTTTGAGTGTACTGGTTTAGGTTTTTTTAGTTTTTAGAAATATATAATTAGGCTTTTACAATTTGTGACCCAACAAGAGAATACAGGCCAATATCAATGCATTGTGTCAGCAATTTTATCCTGCCCTTCCTGCTTTTAGTAACTCCCAGAAAGCAGCAAAAATGGATGAAACTGAGAGAGTTCCCTGCATGCTGGTAGGATAACAAGGTCTTATTTAAAAAGAACTGGTTAAATACACTATTTGAACTGTCAATCTATTTATAGTGGGAATAACAAAGAAAGACAACTGTATGCAAACAGAGAAAGAGAAAAAGAGAGAGAGTGTGTGTAGTTATGGAGTTGAAATATTTCATTTTTATAATTGCAAACATTTATCATATGTGCTCTATTTGGCATGTAATGAAACTGCAATCTTCTAAACCTGAAGTCTGCAATTTTAGATTACAAAGCTCACTCCAACTCTTTCATTAATCTGGAAGGCAACATTAAATGAATCTTTCATAACTATTACGAGTCATACTAGAAATGGAGCTGCATTTCTGAAGGCAGCTGAATGCAGAGCCTTGCACTGGAGCTGGATGTGGTGCTCCTAAGACTTCCAATAACACAGAGATTGCAAGTCTGATGGAAGCTACACAGGAATAGCAATGAAGACAGAAAATGTGCCATAGAATTTGGTATGAGCAAACACTGGGTCGTTTACACAAGCTTCTTTCTCTAATGTGTTAAGCTACATCCTCAAAGCGATCAATTATGGACGGTTCAAGTTAACGAACAGTAGTTAGTTCGCTGGGTAGAAAGAAGGAGACAGCACAGTTTTCAAGGGTGCAGTTTACAGCAGTCGGTGCTCCTACGCAGTCTCTTTCCATGGGTTTCCTCCAGACTTGCCCATTCTTGCCCATACAGTGGTACCTCGGGTAAAGAACTTAATTCATTCTGGAGGTCCATTCTTAACCTGAAACTGTTCTTAACCTGAGGTACCATTTTAGCTAATGGGGCCTCCCGCTGCCACCGCGCGATTTCGGTTCTCATCCTGAGGTAAAGTTCTTAACCTGAGGTACTATTTCTGGGTTAGCAGAGTCTGTAACCTGAAGCGTCTGTAACCCGAGGTACCACTGTACAGTTGCTCCCAGTGAGTTTTTTTCCTATAAAAATAGGTGCCGGTACTCACCATGAAGTTGTTACAGTAAGTGCCACCGTTTTCAACAACCAAAAAGGGGGTGCCGGTACTGCATACCCTTGAGTACTCCCAGAAAAAAACAATTGGTTGCTCCCTTGTATTCTTATGCATAGAAAGGAAAATACACACACACACACACACACACACACACACACACAGAGAGAGAGACTGAATCAAGTGAGACTCAAGCATATGAATTGGAGAGGGTGTCTGTGAGAACCACTTATAATGCTCAAACCACACACACACACACACACCTGTTAGTCTTTAAAGTGCCACATGACAGAGGTGTGCAGGCAATTAGGTTCAGGGTTTCTTTGCTGACTAAGTAAAATGGACCGCACCGGGCGCAACATCTGGGGGGGGCGCGAGTCCAGAGGGAAGGGACAAGTTCCTTCCTCCGCCGGGCTCCCCGCCGCCACCGCCAGCCTTGCGCCCTAGCGCGCGCGCCCCCCGCCGTCGCTGTGGCTGCGCTCCGCTCACTGCTCGCAGGAGGAGCAGCCGCTGCAGCAGCGCCGACGCCGCCACCGACGCCTGGCCGGGCACGGGCAGCCTCTGCACCCTGCCGCCGCCGCCATCCCCTCGGCCGAGCCACAGGCGGCGGCTGCTTCTGCCTCCATCCTCCTCCGGGCAAGCAGCGTTGTTTCATTGCAATGCTGCATAGTAGAAAGTTGCCTATGAAGTTTCAAACAGCTCTGCTTTGTTGGTTTAAGTAGAGCCACATAGGGTTTTTTAAAAATGCAATTTATTTATTTTTTAGCAAAGCTAAGTGAACATGAAAATTCATAGATCTTCAGTGCTTTGAAGCCTGATCTCTTGCAGAGCCCCTGGACCTTAAG